AGACACCCAAAGCCCTGGCCGTGTTCCTGTGTGACTGCTCTGGTGATCCTGCTCTGGCGGGTTGCACTGGGGGATCTCCAGAGGGCCCTGCCAACTCCTGACATCCTGGGATGCTGTGATTCTGTGATTCTGCACTTCAGCAAGTGATTTGTTTCTTGAAAACCTAATTGAAAACTGTGGATCGTTTACGGAGCGCCTGGTGCCCCATTTGCTGTCTGTGCCCTGCAGGTTGCTGTGACTGCGATTTTTCAGCTTTGCAGAGCAGTGCGTTGCTCTCCCCGTGTCCTCCAGCCCAGCCCTGCCACCGCCTTGCAGCGAATTTCTTCTTTCTTTCTTCCATCCCATTTAGCACACTCAGGTCTCTTAAAATTCAGCTTGTAAGCAAAGTGAAGCATCACCTAAAATTGTAATATCTGCCTTTATCCTCCCTCCCTTCCCTAGAGAGAAAAAAGAAAACACAAAAAAAGCAAGTAGAGCAAAACTGATTGAGTTGCCAGCATTTCTGGTGTCTGCTGTTTGCATTTGAAATATTTATGGTGCAGCCACCTTATTTCATCCCCAGGAAAAGGCTGTAGCTGCTTACTTGGAGAAACCAGCAATGTCACTGTGCAGCAGCTCTGCTGCCTTGTTTCAGAAAATTCGGTTATCTCATGCCTGTAAAATGGCTTTGGGTGAGCTCCAAGAACTGGGAATTGTGTAAATGGAAAGAAACTCAAAGTTCGCAATCGATAAAGGCTGCAGCCCAAACTGAGCCGCTCTGACTTGCAAAAATGTGCTTGTCTGAAGATTAAGTCTTTGTTAGGGGTTGGCCACCCAAAATTGCTAATGATGTTTTAGCATATTCATACTTCTTTATAAATTCTGGGAGAGCAGAGGAAAAAAGTCTGGGAGGATGAGGGGGTAAGAGCCACAAAATGGTTTTTCTCTCACTGTATCTGTACACTCCTGTATGCAAAGCTGTAGTGAAACTGGAACAAGGAAATCCTGCGGCCTCGCTGTGCTCTGCAGGGCTGCGGCAGAGCCCTCCCTGCGGCCTAGCGGGGCCTGCCCAGCCTCCAGTGCAGGCACTGCCACTGCCCTGCTCTCCACGGATTAATGATGGCATCAGAGAAAGAGCTGGGTTGGTAGGGACCTTTACAGCTCCTCCAGTCCAACCCTGCAGGGAGCAGGGACATCTTGAACCACATCAGGTTGCTCACAGCCCCAGCAAGCCTGGCCTTGAACATCTCCAGGGATGGGGCCTGCACCACCTCTGGGCAACCTGTGCCAGTGATCGACCACCTCATGGGGAAGAGCTTTTTCCTCATATCCAACCTAAATCTCCCCTTTTCCAGTTTAAAACCATTCCCCCTTGTCCTATCACTCCATGCCTCAGTGAACAGCTCTTCCCCAGATTTCTTATAGGCACCTTTCAGGTCCTGGCAGGTGCTCTAAGGTCCCCCTGGAGTCTTCTCTTCTCCAGGCTGAACAACCCCAACTGTCTCAGCTGTGCCCATAGCAGAGCTGCTCCAGCCCCTCACCATCTCCGTGGCCTCCTCTGGACCCGCTCCAGCAGCTCCATGGCTTCTGGTGTTGGGGACTCCAGAGCTGGACCCAGGTGGGGTCTCACCAGAGCAGAGTAAAGGGCAGTTTTTCCCCCTCATCCCCTGCCCACGCTGCTTGTGATGCAGCCCAGGATGCTGGTGGCTATCTAGGCTGCAAGTGCACGTCATCAACTTTTTGTCCCATTTGCCGAACCTTTTTTAGAGCTACTTTGTGAACTTGTTTTGTCCTCTCTCACATCCTGTGGCAGGGATTTTGGTGTTATTTTGTTGTGTGCAGGGGCGGGTCTTGTTTTTGTTGTGTGCAGGGGCTGTTCAGCTGCTGCACGTGTGACCTGGTGTCGCTCACAGGCACTGGGAGTGTTCCTGACCGAGCACAACGTGGTCCCACTGCTGCTGTGCTGTTGTGGGAGCTGACTTCCTCCCCAGGCAAAAGGCAGGTCTCATCTTTCCCCCTGTTATTCCCCGCCTGTGTCCTGCTTGCAGAGTATGAGGCATAAATTCCACTGCTTCAAAGCCGTTGCAGTGAACCGCCCGCCTTATTTAGCTACAAATTTACTTGGTTTATACATTTCAGGAAGTATTTTTTATTTTTTTTTACTACTGCACTGAACTTAATTTGCAGTATATTTTGCAAATGCGTTCTTCCTCTAGGTGGCTTATTACTTCTGGATGCTGAGCAAATAGCAGCTATTCTGCCTGTGTCAAAAGCTGCAGAAAATGCTTATTGTTTCCTTAATGTGCCATTACCTGGGTAGCACATATGGGCCACATAAAGGAGAGCAGAAGAGAGCTACTTGTCTGCAAAACTGGGAGTTGCACAGCTTCCACTCATCAAACAGCAGCTTTTTCTGCTCGTGAAACAGCAGATTCTTGGAGGCAATCGTCCTTCTGAACGTGAGGCGCTTCCCGCGCTGGCGTATCCATCACAGCCCGGGTGTCTGTCGGGATAATCAATGGGAAGCAGTGAGCTGCTCTGCAGCGCGTTCACATGATCTGCGCTGGAGGCTCTTTCCAAAGGTGATAAATCGCCCCCTGGAAGTGGCGTTCAGTGAGCATGGCCAGCTCGGATGGAGCCATCTCCATCGCAGCCACAGCACGAATCCTCTCCTCCCGAAGTCTGCAGTGCAGGCAGCTCTGGCGCGGACGTTGATCCTGTGTGCTGTCCTCGTGCTTTTGGGGGATCAGGGGAGTTCAGGGCATGATTTATTGGGTCAAATACTTGCACCAGTTTTGGGTGAAGGCTCCACCCCACCAGCACTTGGCAACGGAGCTGGGGAGGGGTCTGGAGCACCCGAATGATGGGGAGCGGCTGAGGGAGCTGGGGGGGTCAAGTGGAGAAGAGGAGGTGAGGGGAGACCTTATCCCCTCTGCAGCTCCTGAAAGGAGGGAGTAGAGAGGGGGGGTCGGTCTCTTCTCCCCAGAAAAAAGCGATGGGATGGGAGGAAATGGCCTCAAATTGTGCCAGACAGAGTTAGGTTGGATCTGAGGGAAAAGTTCCTTACTGGAAGCACTGGAAGGGGCTGCCCTGGGAGGTGGGGGAGTCCCCATCCCTGGAGGGGTTCAAAAAATGTGTAGTTCTGGCACTTGGGGCCATGGTTTAGTGGCCATGGTGGGGTTGGGTTGACGGTTGGACGTGATGATCTTAAAGGGACTTTTCCAACCATAATGGTGCTGTGATTCTGTGACTCTAAGAAGTGCAAGGTCTGGGGCTTGGAGCAGCCTGGGCTGGTGGAGGTGTCCCTGCCCATGGGGGTTGGACTGGGGGGCTGTGAGGTCCCTTCAACCCAAACCACGCTGTGATTGATGAGGTGAGTGGCTCCCAGGGCTGTATCTCCACGCAGCCTGAGCAGCCCCCGTTCTGTGATGTCTCTGCAGAGCACTCGAGGTCAGTCTGCGTTTGGCTCCTGGTCACGGGAGCAGGACACAGGATCGTGAAGGCGGATAAAAGCTGTCGTGGGAGATGATTTTAGAACAGTTCAGATTTCTGTGATTCATTGAGGTTTTGTCATAGTGTGCAGTCAGTAATCTTTCTAATAAATGTCTTCATGCCCTGGATCAGATCTGTTGAGCCCATCGCCTTTTCCATGGAATTGGTCTGGAGTGGAGAACCAGGAGAAGAGCTCAGGGGCAAAACAAGCGTATTCCCCGATAGATCCCATCCCTCACTTGACTGATTACTCTTTGAGCCTCTCTAGGTCTTTGATGCTCCATTACCTGTGGCAGTGATAGACCTACAAAAGAACATCTCGGGCTCGCTCGCCCTTGGGTGCTGAAGCAGCATTAATAATCATTCCCTATGAACCAGACTGAAGAGTCTGATCTAATTAATCTTCCCTGAGATGGGAGCCGCTCCACCAGTATGGAGATGGGACTGGCTGCCGTGCAATCCCAAATCCTCTGCACTGCCCGATTCCTCTCCCGCTCCTCCACAGCAGCACCAGGGCAGAGGGCTCGGTTTATGTATTTTCACATGAATATTTCTTCTGAAATCTCCCCAGTTTAATGACATCCCATGGTGAGCAGCTCTGTATTTTAACTGCGTGCCTTTCAGCGTTAAGGGACTCCGTTTACTGCGGCGCGTGAAGGTCGTTCCTTTTATTTCTTAGCTCTTTTCAAGGTGTTTTGTCTCTGTAAGATGCCTGCAGTTCAGGCAGTTGCTGGCATGATGGGTTTCATATTGATGAAGGCAGCAGATTGCAGGAATATGATCATGAATATAATGACAGGAGGGAGGGTCTGAGGAATGCGCCAGTGCAGGATTTCTGTTCCTCTGATCTTTATCTGAATTGGAGGTTGTTCATGGGAGGTTTTTTTCCTAATGTTGCAATGACATGGAATGGAGCAAATAACACGCTAAATAGTTACACCTTTTTAGCAGAACATGTCCAACACTGAGGAGTTTATGTAGGGGCTCCAGGGAGGTCGTAGTGCAAGTGTTTGTGTATGCCATGCTCATAGGACGGGTGCCCCAAGGCAGAAGACAGTTGTCTTGGTGGATGGAGCTAAAATGATTTTTGTTCATATGAAAGAGAGTAATAGCTCAGCTCAGGACCTCACAGAGCATCTGGTTTGATTTTAACCTCTTCTGCCCGTTTTTCTGTTTCCAGGTCGTATCTGACTCCGGTGCGGGATGAGGAAGCAGAGTCCCTGAGGAAGGCCCGATCCAGGCAGGCCCGGCAGACGCGCAGGTCCACGCAGGTAACGAACGGGAATCCTCGTGTTTGTGCAGGACAAGCAGAGCTGGTGTACAGAGAGGCAGGATTTTCCTCTGCTCTGATTTACTACACAGCACGAGGGACTCGTCTGCCCTCACCCTGTGTTGGAGAGGTCCTGGCAAAAGTTCCTGCACACAATTACTGCACGATACTTCCCCAATCATACACGAGTTAGGTTTCAAAGTTCTCATTCCTGCAGTATACCTGCCTTTTAGTTTACAGCTTGATCACGTATATTTGGATAGCTGTGGTTAGGTTGGTACACTGAGCAGTGTGTTAAAGGCAACAGAATTCTTTCTGTTAGCATGAAGATGAAGCATTAGCCTGGCTGGGTATAAACCTGCTGGGCATTTTAAACGGACCTGGGAGACTTCTCAGTGATGTCCAGTGACAGGACAAGGGGCAATGGTCCCAAGCTGGAGCACAGGAGGTTCATGTGAACATGAGGACAAACTTTGTCAGTGTGAGGGTGGCAGAGCATGGCCCAGGCTGCCCAGAGAGGTTGTGGAGTCTCCTTGTCTGCAGACACCCAAAGCCCTGGCCGTGTTCCTGTGTGACTGCTCTGGTGATCCTGCTCTGGCAGGGGTTGCACTGGGGGATCTGTAGAGGGCCCTGCCAACTCCTGACATCCTGGGTCGCTGTGACTTCAAATCTGATTGCATGAATTGACAAATCCTCTCTTTCGCTGTGTCCGCAGGGTGTGACGCTGACAGACCTTCAGGAGGCAGAGCGGACCTTCAGCCGGTCACGGGCAGAGCGGCAAGCGCAGGAACAGCAAAGCGAGAAAGCAGAGACCACTGAGCCCGCAGAGGACAGCAGCGAGAGGCAGGAGACCCGCTCACGGTGGAGCAGAAACACCGATGAGGAGGTGATGCTCCTGGCCCCCCTTCCTGTTGGTTCAGAGATAATGGAAACAGTCAGGATGGCTGAGATTGGGAGACATTCCTGTGGGGCTGTCTGGTTATTTTCAGGGGGGCAGACTTGCTGAAAAGAATCACAGAGTGACAGCATGGGTTGGGTGGGAGGGGACCTCACAGCCCCCCCAGTCCAACCCCCATGGGCAGGGACACCTTCACCAGCCCAGGCTGCTTCAAGCCCCGTCCAACCTGGCCTTGGGCACTGCCAGGGAGGGGGCACCCACAGCTTCTCTGGGCAACCCGGGCCAGGGCCTTGCCACCCTCACGGGGAAGGATTTCCTCCTAATATCCAGTCTAAATCTACCCTTTACAGTTTAAAACCATTCCTCGTTTGAAGAAGTAAAGACAGAGGAGCTGTATCTGACCTCCACATTCTGCCCGAGGGAGGTGGACGTGCAGGTGTCAGAGGTTCCTGTTACGTTGCCCTCCGCTGGGAATTCCACTTTTCTGTCTCTTGCCAGGAAATCAAACTGTGTAAATCACACAAAGTGGTGTGAGAAGGCTCATGACAGAAACATGGCCTGGGTCTGTCCGTGCTGTGCAGGCTGGACTGGGGCTTTGCGTTCACATTTTTCCACAGATGTTTAATGGAAAGCTGGAGAGACCAGGTTTCCTCCGCTGCCATCACTTCTGGTTTTTTGCTCTAAATCATTCATTTCTATTAGATAACTTGTTTTTCCTTAGCAGTAGGGCCAAAGAGATTTATCCCAGACTTCCCAGCGATGGGAAGTGGCTCTCACGTTGTAGCTGTGCGATGTTTTAACGTTCATCCCAGTGTGATGGAATGAACCTGATCTGGCAGATGGAGGAGATAATTTCCAGCAGCAGAGAAGAAAATATTATCCCAAAAATCCCAAATCTGCTCGTTCTGCTAACGTTTTGCCGTGGTTCTTTGTTCATAGACTGTCTATCGGCGATTAAGGTGCCCGGTACAGCCAGACAAACCTACGACGCCTGTGTCTCCTTCGACGTCAGCGCCTCTGCTTTACACAAGCTCGTACCTGACTCGAACAAATAAATATCTCGGTCTTGACTCTGTGAATCCTGCAGACTTCAGAGGTGCAGCCACAGAGATGGAGAAAAACGGTATGTACGCAGGAGAGTGAGCAACAGACAGCGCTCAGGGATTTTCCTGTGTGTACAGACAGAGAGAATGGGTTTGTTATTCTGAGGAGAGCAGCACGGGGAGCTGCCGCCTCACAAACCAAACATTGTTGATTTAAAGGAAATCCGAACGTAGGATACCGCCTATTGCTTGTAACAGAGAGGGATAAGGGGGTGTTTTCCATTTTGGCTGAGTAAATGAGATAGTAATCCGTGCAACATTTAGATCAGGGATGGTTTGGGGAGAGCTGAGAGCCAGAGTAACCCCTCTGCGCTCTGGTTAAAAAAGGAGTGTGAGTAACACAGCGTAGTAGGGCACTGACTTTCCAATTAATTTGGCTTAATAACTCCTTTGTAATATAACACCGGCCAAGATGACCTTGAAAGGAGCCCAGTAGCTTAGCAAATGCCCAGATGTAAATCACTGAAACCAAAGCAGTCTGTCTTTGCTTGGCCAGAGTGCGAGGATCAGGACGTAGATGACAGATCTCTGAACAAACAGTCGATCCGAGAGAGGCGGCGGCCAAAGGAGAGGCGAAGAGGCACCGGCATCATTTTCTCGACAAAAGATGTAAGTTTGAGGTCCTTAGAGAAGAGAAGCTCATTCTGTCATACACAGCATGAATTTCCTTCCCATTCCAAGCTCCAGGTTTTTTTCCAGGTCAGTCTGTTCACCATCAGTGCTCCCTCTCCAGCTCTGTTCCAGACGGGCACTTCCAAAGGAATCGCATCCCTGTTTGGCCCCTGTAAAACCCAAAAAACCCCTGTCCTTGAGCCATAAATCAGTGTGATCCTTGCACAGTTGTGAAGGAGCCCACACGGGGGAAGAGAGATTCAAGTCTTGTTTCACTGGAAGGAGGAGGTCACGAGCCATTGGAAGCATTTTCAGTTTCCTCTCAGCCCAGATCTGGCTGTGCTTTAGGTCCCCAGAGAGGAAGAGCTCTCTGTGTCATGGTCATTTCTCTTAGTCCTGGTCTCAAAAGGATTTCTTCAGTCTGAGGGGTGAAATCCAGCCGTCCAAGCCTTGGTTAGACTCGGATAGGAAACAGCTCACCTTTTCCAGCAGGGGAATAAGTTATGAAGTCATGATTAAGAAGTCTGTACAGCTCCAGTCCAGCTGTGGACACACAGCCTTCCTCCTGCACCTCAGGGGTCATGGCTCCCTGCACAACACAAGAGATGATTCTTACATTCTCCATACCAAATGTGGTATTTTTTTTATTTGCTAATCCTTTTTTCATTAAATGCTTTACAGCTCACGCAGTTTTCTGCTGGATCATTGTAGCAATATTACCAGCTTCAGAAAAGAAGGCAAATCGCTTCTCAGAGCTTTAGTTCATTTCCCCACTGTCTCTGTACAAAACTGCAGCCACAACTTCTGAAATACCTTGAGTTTAATACGGAGTCAGATGTGATGCTGTGGTTGTTTACCAATGCTGCATGAAATCCTGGAGCTGTCACAAAGAGGCAGTGGGGTCACAGATAGGGCAAGGTGTCTGGGATAGAGCCACAGTGGTTTGGGTTGGAAGGGACCTTTACAGCTCCTCCAGTCCAACCCTGCAGGGAGCAGGGACATCTTGAACCACATCAGGTTGCTCACAGCCCCAGCAAGCCTGGCCTTGAACATCTCCAGGGATGGGGCCTGCACCACCTCTGGGCAACCTGTGCCAGTGATCGACCACCTCATGGGGAAGAGCTTTTTCCTCATATCCAACCTAAATCTGCCCTTTTCTAGTTTAAAAACATCACCCCTTGTTCTGTCACTCCATGCCCTTGTAAAAAGTCCCTCCCCAGCTTTCCTGTAGCCCCTTTCAGGTCCTGGAAGGGCTTTCTCCTCTCCAGGCTGAACAACCCCAACTCTCTCAGCTGTCCCCATAGCAGAGCTGCTCCAGCCCCTCACCATTCCCACGATCTCCTCTGGACCCACTCCAATGGGTCCCTGTCTTTGCTGTGCTGAGGACCCCAGAGCTGGACACAGCACTGCAAGGGGAGTCTCGCCAGAGCAGAGCAGAGGGACAGAATCCCCTCCTTGCCCCTCTGGCCACACTGCTGAGGGTGCAGCCCAGGACACAGTTGGTTTCTGGGCTGTGAGTGCACAGAGCCAGCTCATTCCCAGCTTTTCATCCACCAGCACCCCAAGTCCTTCTCCTAAGGGCTGCTCTTCGTCCCTTCATCCCAGACTCTTGATACCGGCACCAGGGGTTGCCCCAGCCCATGTGCAGGACCTTGCACTTGGCCTTGTTGAGCCCCATGAGGTTCACATGGGCCCATTCTCCAGGTCCCTCTGGGTGGCTCCAGTTTCCTCTGGGAGTCTATTTGAAGTGGAGAATAGTCTTTAAAAGTCAGTGTTATGTCAACTTTTCAGACATGCAGTCCTCCCAGCTGCCAGTGTATCAAGGAAATACTTCTCCCACTGAGTCTTCAGGAGCATCTGTATTACGGTAGCCATTTCAAGGGAGTAAATCTGTCCCCAGCACCAAGATCTCCTAAATGGCCACTGTGTCACCAAACCTGATCTGATCGTCAGCCAAAAGCATCTACACAGACATTTCTTTCGACAGAAGTGTTCCTAGCTATACCATCAAATCATAAGCAATGCATTATCTTCCTGTGATAAAATTTTGTTGTCTCTAAGCTGCCTAATTTATATCGTTTGCTTTTCGTCCTAGGACGATGATGAAGTCGATGGAAATGAGGACGTGAAGGAAACTCGGGTAAGTGAGAACATGTGGCTAAATAGTTGGTGTTTCACTCTTGAGTGTTGATGGCAAGAAATCTTCCATGGCTTTGCTCTTGTTTATCCAAGAGGTTCGGGCTCTGTTCAGGAGCCGAGTACGAAGTGGGAGGTAGCTCTGAGTGGCAAATTTCTTGCTGATTTCTCATCTGAAAGATGAGGATTATCTCCAGACTGGCCTATGTGCAGAAGTTGGCTCTTCAAGAGCTGCAGCCCAATGCTCAAAGCTGGAGGGCCTGGAGCAGGAGCGGGGTGAGCGCCTTGCTGAGCGCTGCCAGGAGCTGTCAGTTGTCCAGGGGAAGGACGTGACCTTGTCTCTCAAAATCACCCCGACACTGGTAATTTGGACGCTGTGTTTTGTGTCTCGAAAATCTGCACTGCTGTCTCCTCATGGATTTGTTTTCTTGCGGGAAATTGTCTTGGCAAGCAGAGTCTGTTCATTGTTCCCCGTTCTTGCCGTCATCTCGTTATCCGTCGAGGCCCTCTCTTTCCTTTTCTAATAATTATTGAGTCCTTCCAAATTGCCTTGGTTTCTTTTGGTTTTGTCTGCCAGTGTCTAAAACACGTTTGAGCCTGACAACATGAATTACTCTGACAACGTTAAAGCTAAATACATTTCCAGACTATTAAAGCATAATGTGCAAGACCTGAGGAAAACAGCGCATTTAAGGTCGCGTAGGGGTCAGCCCCGCTTGTGTGACCTTTCATCTTTGCCAGCAGATGTTGAACTTGGGGTTGCCTTTGCACTTTGCAATTCAACAGAGTGGTTGAAGCATCATTTCATTGAGAAGTTAACTGGTTTTTTGCTGAGGATTTTTAGTAACGCTCTTCAGAGTCTGTTTTTAGTTTTCTTTTTACAATGCTCAGTGAACAAGGGGCACAGTCATGGTGGGCGTATGGGGACCAGCGACCCGTGCAGTACTGGGATGGCTCCTAGCACGCCCTTGTCTCCCAGTGCCAGCCCTTGCTTTCCCAGTGCTTACTTTGCAACGTGAAATATGGGAAGTTCCTTCCCGCAGAGGCATCTCCAGCTTCGAGAAGCCCGGCTCGTCCCGCAGGCGTCTGCTCATAGCGGCACACGCGGCTCCGTTAAATCTTCCTCTGTGCCCTGCGTGAAAGATTGAGCCATTTGTCATCCTTAAATTGGTCTGGCATTTCTGCCGTCTCACAGTAAGACTGAAGGAGGGGTGTTTTGCAATGTGTGAAACAATAAGAGGGACACCTTGTTTGCAGCAGCGGTGTAGTGGACTTGCTGGGAATGTCTCGTTCTTCTGGGAAGTTGTCCCAGAACAGCTGAATTAAGACAAAATTGTGGCTGAGGCTGCAGGTTTGGAGGCTTCCCGGAGTCTGGTCCGAAAATTGCTGATAACTCCACTGAGCACAGTCCTCACCACTCTTGTGAAGGGGTAAACAGCACTTTGGAAGAACCCACCGTGTGTTCCTGCCCGAAAATTCAGGATCACCCGCTCTCTTACAGTTAACTGCGCTGCTTTTCCTCAAATTAATAGCAAGGAATGAGTTCCCATCCAAGAGCAGAGCAAGATCCCTTCAGTTCCCTTCGTCCCCACGTTTTATGGAGCAGCCCCCTGGTTTCTTACACCCCAGCACACATTAAACCCCAAGTTAGACTCTGCTGCTGCTGTTTTTCCCATTCTCCAGTCCTCCTCTTTTTAGCCAGTTTCCAGTTCAGTCTTCACTGCATGCCTGCAGCATCATGTCACTTGGTCAGGCTTCCCTGCTTGATTTTGTATCCAAATCAGAGAGATTTCTTCCCTGCTCAAC